AGTGACTCATTAGGGCTTGTCTGGCAGAGAATGTGGCATTTGAATTGCAGATGAATAGGTCAAAAAAACTAAACATGTTTGTAAAGATCTTTTTCATTTCGCTGTGGCTAAATTTAACTTGCAATGGTGAGGAGCTAGCCTGAGTCTTCTGAGGTTGGTTAACACGGGGCCGAAGGCGAGGTGAAGTGAGGACTCCAGACGAGATATGACCCGGTACAGGTACCAGTGAAAGGAGGTGGCTTCATGAAATCTGAAAAATGGGTCTCATGAGTGGAACATGGAAAATCTAAGCAAAATCTAAAAAGAAGATGTTCACAAACGAATGAGTAATTTAGTTAAAGTCAAGATACCAGAGAAAAATAAATAAAAATGAATCTAGCAGCCGGTCATGGTGGCGCACACCTGTAATCCCAGCACTTAGGAAGCTGAGGCAGGAAGATCGCTGTGAGTTGACCAGCCTGGACTACATAGTGAGTTCCAGGTCAGTCTCAACCACATAGTGAGACCCTGTCTCAAAAAAAAAAAAAAACTAAAAAAAAAAAAAAAAAAAAAAAGAATCTGAGTTGCAGTATAAGAACAGTCCCCAGATATTCTGAGCAGTTCTTATGAAAATATTTTATCACTGTCCATCCGTTTTTACTATGTGAGGAATGGCAGGGTGACACACGGTAACAAAGCAGAGAGGACATAAGTGTATTTGGATAAAGGAACCACAACCTAAAAATTAGAAAAACAAATACAAAACAAAACAAAATACAAAATTTAGAAATAAATAGGGAAAGGACAAATCCAAATATAATATAAACTGTTTGACCCATACAACTAACAGTATGGTCTTTATACTCAGCTATGCAGAAATGCCAAACAAGTTTTATCACCTTAGTAGTTGTTTTGTTTTTATTGACACTTAGACCAATTAGAGAAAAATGATTTACTTCTGAGCAATCAGTTATATCCACTTTTATGTTTTTTTTTTCTTTTTGAGTTTATTGGTACATCTTAGGTATACAGTACAGTTACATTCATCATTGGGATCTTGTACTTCTACATGACAGGTCTTGATTCTCATTTTTCCCCCTTGTCCCTGCCCTCCCTTCACCCCTCTTCCCCTCCCCATTTACAAACATTTTATTTCCATTTTTTCATTTTCTCCTATTTGTTTCCTTTCTGTTATTACCTTTCCCCTTACCTTCCCACTTGCCCTACACCTTTAGCCCTTTTCTTCCTATTTCACATTCCACTTTTAAATCAATAAATTAAATAAAGTTGTTGCAAAAGGAACTTGCCCTTTCAGTTATCATTCTAGGGATTCTATGGTTCTTCAAAACTGATAATAAGTGTGGGCTTAGTTTTAACTTTGATACTTTTATATGTGCTTTTACTTTCCTAACTTTTTTCTTTCATTTCCATCTATTTATTCTTTTCTATTCACTACAATTGAGAGACAACACTTCAATCTAACAAGACAATTTATTTGTTTCCAATAGTTAGCTATTAAAAATTGTGCTGCTATAAACAAGGGTGTGCATATATTGCTGTGGTATGATGCTTCTAAGTAGTTGGGAAACATAACAATAATGGGAATATCTGGGTCAAACAGGACCTCAAGTTTTAGTGTTTTGAGGAATCTCCACACTAATTTCCAAAGTGGTTGTGCCAGTCTGCACTCCCAACAACACTGGAGAAGGTTTCCTTTTTCCCTATGGCCCCACCAGCATTTATTATGGGTTGATTCCTTGATAGATCCATTTTTTTCTGGAGTAAGATGGAATCTCAGTGCTGTTTAAATTTGCACCTCTCAAATGTCTATGATGCTGAACATTTTTTCATGTATTTATTTGCTGTTTGGACTTCTTCATCTGAGAAGTTTCTATTTATTTTAGATGCCATTTTTGGATTGGGTCTTGAAATTTTTTGGGGAGTCTGTTTTTTTTTTTTTTTAGTTCTTTTTATATTCTAGATATTGGTGCTTTGAGAAACAGCTGGCAGAAATGTTTTTCCCCACTCTGTTGGGTGGCTCAGTGTGTTGGTGGTTTCTTTTGCTCTGCAAAAGCTTTTATAATACTTTTATAATACTTCCTGTGTGGTCAGGATTTTGTTTATGAACCTTTAGCTACAACTGTATCTTCTAGAGTTATACCTATTCTATCTTCCAGCAGATTTAAATGTTTCCGTTTTAATATTCAGATCTTTGATCCAGTTCTATTTTAGTTTAGTGCATGGTGAGAGACATAAGTAAATAAAGAGGGGGAAAGGGCTCGAAGGGAGGGGAGGGAATTGAGGAACAAAGAAGAATCAAAATATATTATGTACAGGTACAAATTCGCTATGATGAATGTTATCATTATGTATATATAAAGTGTACCCATAAAATTAATTTTAAAAACCAATTTACTTGTGTATTCTACTTACGTTGATCACAGAATTTCTAATTCAAAATGTTGTACTTCTTAAAACAACTTATTGGGGCTGGGGATTTAGCTCAGCGGTTCGGTGGCCTGCCTTGCAAGCGCAAGGACCTGAGTTCGATCCCTGATACCAAAAAAAAAATCAAATAAAACAACTTATTCACATTTATATAGGACGAACATATTTAAAGTGTACAATTTGATAAGTTTTGACATGGATCAACACTTATGAAACCATCACCACAATACTGATAATGAATATATCACCCCAAAAGCTTTCTTATGCTCCTTTATCTTACCTCCTGAAACTTTCTCAGGCTATACTGCTCAGTTTTCTGCAACTGTAAATTAGCTTTGATTTTTCATATTTTTTAGTTAAATGGAATCACAAAATGTATATCTGTGTGATTTTTTGATCCAGTATAATTATTTTGAGGATCATCTAGCTGTACGAAATAGTTTACTCTTTTTCATATGTAGTAGTTTTTCAGTCTTATGGGTCTATCACACTATTTATTGTTCTGTTTATATACATTTAGGTTTTTACCGTGTCTTCACTATTATATATTAAACATACTATGAAAATCTATTCATATTCTTTTGATTATTTTTTCTACTTGGTAAGTATCTGTTCACAACATGGCTGAATTTGGGGCACACTGTGGTGAAAAATTGCTGGGATACTGTGCTAGAAAGAAGGTATGAACCAGTCTGGCCTGGGAAAACTCAGATGTTAATGGCCTTTAGGATAAGCTGTTGGCAAAATACTTTCAAATTCAGAGTAGTTGGCCTGAGAAAAGGCAATTTTGATTTCTACTTCTCTACTGCTCTAGACAATAGTATGGTGGGGGAAACTATTGGCTCTTACAGTATTTAATCTTGTCCTCTTTAAAAGCAGGTGTGGGTAAACTGTGGCCCAAGGGTTATATCCAACCTACCAAATATATTTGTGAATAAAGTTGTATTGGAACACAGCCATGCCCATTTATTTACATTTTGCCTGTGGATGTTTTTGCACTATAATAGCACAGATACTTGAGAACTTGTGACAGAAACTGCATCGCCTGCAAAGGCTAAAATGTTTACTAGCTTGACCTTTATCAAAAAAATTGCTGACTCATATTCTAAAGAAATAGGATATTGAGTTCATAGCTGGGCTGGGTATTGGATTATAATTTATAATTTCCTTTGATGATAAATTCTTGCTCATCAGATACAAAGATAAATATTATGGGCAACCTCCAAAAATATGTTTAAAGCCAGGGGCTTATCCCTTTTCATTCTGTCTATTGTACCCTTTTCGTATATAGGAAGATACAGACATTGAATCTGTAGAACCAGTAATGTCTTAAAAATATGAAATGACCTTAAATATAGAAGTTATCTGGGATAAAGCCTCAATATAGAAGGAACTTCTCTTTCCAAAATCATGCAGTTTCATACCTAACCAGGATGGACATAGGAGAAGGAATAAAATTCTACCTCGTGCAACTACATTGTAATTTGTTTGCTTTTTGGTGTAATAAAGGATTCTCTTATAGCAATCTTACTCTGAAAAATATAACAACATATTATAACCAAGTTTCATATTGTCCTATATTCTTAGGTTCATCATTGTTGGGGAAACTTGGGCACCTCAATCTTGGCAGCCTCAGCAAATTAATTTCTGATCGACTCCAGTTAAACTAGGTTTCAGCCGGGCGTGGTGGCACATGCCTGTAATCCCAGCACTCAGGAGGCTGAGGCAGGAGGATCACTATGAGTTCCAGACCAGCCTGGGCTACATAGTGAGTTCTAGGTCAGTCTCAACTACACAGTGAGACCCTGTCTCAAAAAACAATAACAACAACAACAACACAACAAACCCCAAAAAACAAACTATGTTTCCCTGAAAACTGGGGTTGAACTCAGGTTCTTGGTCGAATTCCTAAGCCTTTCTCTTAGTCATCATCCCTGGATGTGTTTCACTGACCATGATGGTGTTATGGTGCACTTTGTTCAGTCTTCTCCAAAAATGTTGCCACTAGTTCGGTGTTTGTTATAGTGAATCAGTCAGTGTAACATTTCCTCTTGATTTCACTGATACAATTTTGATAGATACAAGAATTTCATTTTGATGTCAACATAAATATTTTAATGAAGAGAAAAATTCAAAGCTGCAATGAAGCTTCACATTCATTAATAAAATATGATCATAAAATATGATCATATTTATAAAAATATGATCATACACATTTATGTGGATAAGCAATATAAACAATGCCAGTAAATTCTTGAGTATTTTACAATAAAGATTGACGTGCAGAAACAAAATTTTGAATTAACAGTAATAGTTTTTAAGAATAAAAATATTTCATAAAATTATACTTTTTTAATATTCATACATTGAAAATATCATAAATCTCTTCCATTTGTCTCCAGTTGCCCTGTTTATTTACACTGGCATACATATTGGTATAAAGGTGTGGATTAAAGTAAAAACTTTATTTAAAATGTGTCAGGATTACTCAGAAGGGTAGAGTTGGAAGAAATTCAGTGACTGAATCAGAGAAGGTAGTTACTAAATACTGCTGCAACTATTATCTTCCGCAGATCTTCAACCACCACTAAACATGGCTCACATGATCTGTATTTTACTCGAAAAGCAGCAGGTATGACTCAGGCTACAAAAGCCATCATATACATTTGTATTTCTTTCTTCTTTTCATGAATTACATTCTAAGTCACAATCTTCCGGTTGGTGAGAAATTTACTGAGATATTTTGGAGACCACTTCTCCCAGGATTGTGGAAATCTTCCAACCTGGGCAGCCCCAGTTTGATCCTAGCATTGGTCTCAAGAGATTCTGTGGTTCACTGGGTCATCAGATAGTTTTTCAAGATGAGAAACCTAGAGTACAGCCTCCTTGACATTTTCGAAAACAATAAACTCTCCTCCTTTGCTTACGGGCCTCCTGTGGAATCTCTCTCTCTCACACCCTCCCTCCCTCCCCGGATTTTCCTCGCCTTCTTCCTCTCCCTTTTCTTCATTCTCAACTGCCAATTCTGAAATAAACTAGTGGGTTAATGAGGAAGCGTCCATTCAATGACTTTGTCTCATTTCTATTTTCAATTTACCCAAGACTTTTGGAGAAAATCAAGAAGAGAAGAGCATGTCAAGTTTTGCACAGTAGTTTACCCTGGCTCCAAAATAACACAGACTGCCATTTCACCGGAGTAGCTACTGAAGCTTGCTATTAGAGCTGCTACGACTGGGAAGACAAAAACGGGGAAATTTTAAAAGTGTAAGTGTGTAGAAGGACTCAACAATTTGATCCTCCTACCACTGGGAAGGGGACATGTGTGGCTGGAGTATTTGGTGTGGGAGAAGAGAGACATCATGGAACTAGGACCGAATCTAGAGAGAAGGACAGCAGCAACACACTGCTGCTGCTGTCTCCTTGAGTGCGTAATCAAGCTAGTTCTATGAATATTAGAGCAAATGCACATTGGATTCAGCTGCCGCCCCAGCATCAACACAATTGCTGTTGGAGCAAGGAAGTGTTGCTATGGTGATCCTGACAGGAAGGAAAAAAAATACTAATCCTTTCTTGCTCCTCCAGTCTTACAATCTCCCCTGAGTGCAGACAGACCCCCTTAGGAAACTACTGGAAAGGTAGGCATCTGGTTTGTAGAGATTCAGCCCCAGCATCATAAAACAGAATATAGAATAGTGGATTTAAAGCTAAGAGATGGAAAATTCAATAATTGACACAGATATCTTGTGAGTTTTAAGGCAACTTTTAGAATTTACAAATATCTAAGGCTAGTCAGCTAATTGATTTTATAGATACTTGGACTCAAGTAAATCTGCCTCCAAAGAGTGTGTACTTAATTGCTTTCTGGTATCTGTAAATAATTATTAGTATTCTTTCTCTTAACAATGGTCATGAACAACTTGTTTATCGATATGTTATGCAATAATTTTTATCTATGGTAGGATGCTTTTTAAAAAGTTTATACCATGACCTCTACTTACTTTTGGATGCCAAGGCACCACAAATGAATGTGAAAAAGAACTAGTAATGAAAGTAGATAAGATATGGTTTATAAAAATCTTTTTATTCTAAATTGTTGATATATTTACATATCCCTAAAACTGAGTAGAGACTCACTAGAACAGCCTAGCGTCATGGTGCATATCGGTAATCCCAGCACTCAATAGGCTGAGGCAGGAGGGCTATCATGAGTTCCAGGCCAGCCTGGACAATATAGTGAGCTTAAGGTCAGCCTAAACTACATAGTGAGACCTTGTTTCAAAAAAAAAAAAAAAAAGAAAGAAAGAAAAAAGAAAGTAAAACAACAACAACAACCACAAAAATGGACTCAATAGAAAAAAAAACTGATGGCGTTTTACCATTTCAAATATTAGGCATAGCGTTAAGATTTACTTCCCGATGCAGTATCTAGAAAAGCAGTATATTCCAATGGCTAAATTGAGCTGAAACAAGGAGAATTCAGATATTCCTTTCCAATTACATAAACGGAAATGGAGGGCTTACTTCAGGGATCCGCACATGCATGCATACATTCAAAGGCATACAAACCTGAAATATGAAATCACTGTGTAGGGAGAAGTCATAGAACTTGACAGAATTTTGATCTTTATATGATACTCCATTCATTTATTTACTACTTAGGAAAAAAAAAAAACTTGCCACTTACATAATGACTTGCCTGCACTTATAAAATAATCAGAGATGTTAAAACACGAGGAACATTTACCTTAGAATCTACACAATAGATTATAAATAAATGATAATAATACAATAAATGACATGCATGAATTAGTAATGACATATTAAGTTGCAGAAATTCTGTACCAGTAAGCAAATAACGGGACATAAAAGATCCCTTAGTACAACTCTGTAGATGTAAGAATTATAATAATTTCTATGGGGGTGTCCCAACTTTTCCAAACAATAAAGTGGAGGGATCATACTGCATAAGTATGTGGAATTGCAACTGAATTTGAGGAAGGCTTTTTAAACAGTAAGTTGCATGAGATAAGTTTCAGAGAAAAACATCACAGTAGTGTAGCCATGATAGAAGTCTATTGGGAGACAGAGTGGGTGGAGGAGAAGAAAAGCTCAGACTGTGACACAGGGCTTGCTGCCAGTGAAAGGAGAGAGGAAAAGAAAGGAAAGGGTGGGGTACCGAGAGTGACCAACCACAGTACGATTTCAAGAAAGATTTGTCAAGGTGAATTGGAAGCCCAGGTCACTTGTTGGAAAAATCACGTTTTGTTTTCATTAATGAGTTTGCTTTCATCCCCTGTGACGGCATCCAGCAGGTGCAGGAGAAATGGCTTCAGCAAAAATGTGATGTACCTAGAGTAGATACTGGAGCTGTCCGTTACATTCCCTAAAGCAGGAGAGCTGAGCAGGGTACTTTTAGAGTCAAATAAGTCTCAATAGATGCTGGAGGAAAACTAAGAATTTTTCCCAATAATGTGTGAAAATAAAATGTAGCTTAATATTTTGGAATGAGATTCATTCGAAAGACACGATAAAGCTCATGAACTATTTTAGTCATTCTCAGCACTGCAGTTTCATTACTACACAAATCTATATTGTGATCTACAATTGATGAAAGTTTAGCAGCAAAATTCACAGCTGGAAATGAGAGGCATTTATATTGCAAGAATGTTATTGAGGATGTACCAGATGATGATGTAGAAGCAATATTTGGAAGTCTACAAATGAATGCTAAATTAAATGAAATGGTAATAATGAGCACAGTGTATTCATACACAGAATGACTTCAGCCATTTAATTACTGAGCTGGGCTAACATGATAAATGCACCTGGACGCAAATCAATGGTAAATGGCTCCCACAACAAAGCATTGAAGAAAGTCATATATACTAAATGGAATAGTGTTTGCAATAAGTAGCCAGAAATAATTCTAACATTAGGGCACAGAGTTGAGGCAGCAGAATTCTAATTATATATTGAAAGTGGCTCTGGTAGATGAGTGAACTCATTTCTGGTTATAAATGTGCTGTTTGGCAGGTGCTTTTAGGCTTGGAACTGCAATTTCTGGCCCCGGAATAGAAGAATAAAGGCTTATCCTTTTCCTTTATTGAATCTGCAAACCAATGCTCACATCCCTTTCATCAGGAAAGTCTAACAGCTAAACTGATGGGTCTCTTTTTCTGCAACTCTTTCAAGGAAAGAAATATGCATGATCCTGGAGGGGAAAAGTCCTTCGTAAGCCAAGGACACTCTCACTTCCACTGAACTTTACCAGTGACAATTTCTTTTTTTTGAGAGTCTTGACATAATGGTAGCATGGAGGGACCCATGGCCATTTTAATTTTTGAAACAATTAACAAAAATATTCACAGGAAATGGCTAAGAAATCTATACAGTATTTAATTGTTACTTATAAGCAATTGTTGCATCAATATAAATTACCTCATTAAATATCACTCTTTTCAGGTATTGAACTTTTGATTCCTATATCATTGTTCACCACCTTAATATCATTTATTTCATTTGGGATCTTACAAAAGACTAATTACCTTTTGACACATGATTACTCAGATTTGTCAGATAAATTTGCAATTATAGAAGCAACAATCTGTTATTGATTTATAGAGTAATTTAATACTTCTTCCCTCTATATGAATGAAGAGAATCTGTAAGAATTCAGGAACAATGGGAGCCATTTCTATGGGCATGTGTCATATTTTCAACTACAAGTCATCTTTTTCTTGGAGAAATGGTTCCCATGTCTTCCATGTCTCCCTGACTTCTCCCTTACTCTCAAGATGTATTGTCCTAGAGAAGCTGACTAACTCCATGCCTTGGAGTGGGTCATGTGAAAGATGTCTCTGAATTAGACAGATCGTTCCCTCACCGACACAGGATGGCTTGCTGATGGGTACATGTTTCCCACCAGGCCAATCACAGTTCCGAGTATGTTTATTTGAGCCCCTGAGTGGAATGGATATATTCTCTCTTACTTATTGTAAGCTTTAGTTGATACATGGGCTAGTCTATTACCATTTTTTTGCTGCTTCATGGTACCTAATACTGAAGTCAACATAGCAGAAGGCAAAGCCAGACACCGGAGATAAACTGACCCCTGAAAACATGATCTCGACACACAGTAAAATTGCTCTGGAGCCATTGTCTCCATACATATTTCAGTTTTATGCATTAATAAATTTCCACTTTACTGGGTTCGTTTGGATCAACTATTTCAGACAATTAGACCATCCTGACCTTCTTGTTACCTATCCGTAGAAGCCAGATGTGTGGAATTCAGTAATTAAAGTACATTGAAGTGATGACATAATATGAAACAAATCTGAAGTTCACTGTTTAAAATACCACTTTAACAATCCTTCCTAGGAAGTATAAAAATTTCAATGGGCTACGAATGCTGATGATTATAGAGTAAAAAATAAGGTGATTAAGAAGAATTGGAGGGCACTGTATCATGCCAAGCCTGAGAAAAGTTTATCAGTTCAACAAAATATCTGTATTTTTTTAGAAAAGAGGGAAATGCAAGAAGAGAAACGTGGAGGATGACAAAAATGTCAGTTGATGATTCCCAAGAGAGCTGCACAAAGCTGGATAATAAATGCAAGATACAAAACCAAGGGAGGGAGTCTGCTTAAAAGCTAGTCATGGACTTTAAGATGAACTTTTGCATTCCTTGTCCTCATCTATGGATGAGGACTCAATAGTAAGTGCCCTGAGTTTGCTCCTGAAGGACTTCCGATTCATTCCTTAAATACTTACCAATTCCTTAGTCTCCGCACAATGTATATCCTTATAAAGATAAACAATGGATTCTTTTCTCATACAGCTTACATTCAGAGTGTTCAAAGAGAAAAATATCAAACAAAACTTTATTTTTAAGTGTCTTCAAATATTGTACGAAAGATTATGGGATGACAGGAAATTATATAAAGGTTCAGCCAAAACGAAGTTGCATCATAGCTGTACAGAGCATAGAAATTAATTAGGCAAAAAGGGAATTGGACAGAGTCTTGTACCCAGAAGGAATGACGTGAGTAAAACTTTGTGGTAGGAAGCAGGTAGGCACATTCGAGGCTCTGAGCAAAGGTCTGTGGAGGTGGGAACTAAGAGCTGATAGAAAAGGACTACCAAGTAGAGCAGGAAAAGGCTGAGGCCACACCGGAAGGATTCTGGTGCAATATAGGTTAGTATAGTTAATGGAATAGGAATCCACGGAAGAGTAATTAGACTGTCAATTTGATATG